GTATCAGCCCGGGACATTCTAAGATTGACATATCCTGGACACAAAGAGAATCTCAGAAATTTAAAAATAGAAATCATACCCATGTACCCTCTCCAGATCACATGATAAAACTAGAAATCAACCTAAAGAAACTCACATTCTAACACAAAAACTGGAAATTAAACAACCTCCTACTAATGATTTCTTCATAAAGAGAATCAGACAGAAATAAAAATTAATGAAGAAACGACAATCGGAGAGACAAGTTAAAATCCTCCTTGGACAAGCTAATCAGTTTGAAGGAGTTATCTCTAATGCTAGACAAGACAAGAAATCACAACGATCTAATGAAAACTCAAAGACTGGAAAGAGAACGACACACCAGCAGAGAAGTAAACCAAAACAAATCAGAACTAAACAAATTGAAAACAGGGAAGCTATTCAGGAGATTAATACAAAAAAGTTGGTTTTGAAAAATACAAAATTGACACGCCATTCGCTAAGCTAACGAAAGCAGAAAGAGAATCTCTAATAAGCTCCATAGGAATAAAAAGGAGATATCACACTGATCACGAGATACAAGATACATTTGATACTACGAAAATCTTTATGCACACAAACTAGAAAATGTGGGAAATGGACAAATTTCTAGAAACACACAGCCTCCTAGGCTCAACAGAAGAAATAGATTCCTGAACAGACAATCTTCAACAGCTTGAAAAATCAAACAGCAATTAAAAATCTCCCTAAAGAAAAGACCCGTCCAGATGGCTTCACACCTGAATTTTACCACACTTACAAAGAAGAACTAGTACCTATCTTGCAGAAACTATTCACAACATCGAGAAGAACAGAAACCTCCGACACCTTTTATGAAGCGAATATTACTCTGATACCAAAACCAAGAAAGGATGCACAAAAAAAAAACTGCAGACCATATCCCTAATGAATATAAGATGCAAAAATGTTCAACAAATCTTAGCTAACCGAATCCAGAACTTATCAAAATAATCCACCACGACAAGTGGGCTTCATCCCAGGGATGCAGGGATGGTTCAACATACGTAAATCTATAATGCAATTCACCAACATAAACAGAAGCAAAAACAAAGACCACACATGATTCTTTCATAGATGCAGAAAAAGCTTTTGACAAAATCCAACCCTTTCATGACAAACACTTAAGAAAATAGGCATAGAAGGGACATACCTAAAAATGATACAAGCCATATATGACAGACCCATAGCCAACATCACTACGGAATGGGAAAAATTGAAATCATTCCACTTAAAACTGGAACCAGACAAGGCTGCCCACTATCTCCACTTCTGTTCAACATAGTGCTGGAAGTCCTGGCTACAGCAATCAGACAGGAAACTGGAATTAAAGGTATCCAAATAGGGGCAGAAGAGATCAAACTTTCACTGCTTCCTGATGATATGATATTGTATCTAGAAACCCAAAGATTCAACCAAGAAACTCCTTGAACTGATCAATGAATTTAGTAAGTCTCAGGATACAAATCAATACACAGAAATCAGAGGCATTCATATACGCCAACACACAATCTAATTGAGACCAAATCAAAGACTCAATTCCCTTCACAATAGCAACAAAGAAATTAAAGTACCTAGATATACTTAACCAAGGACATAAAAGACCTCTACAGGGAGAACTATGAAACACTGAGGAAAGGAAATGCAGAGGATGTAAACAGATGGAAATCCATACTATGCTCGTGGATCGGCAGACTCAATATCATCCAATGTCTATACTACAAACTGATCTACAGATTCAATGCAATACCTATTAAAATCCCATCAGCATTCTTCACAGATATAGAAAAAATAATTTTACGCTTCGTATGGAACCAAAGAAGACCTGAATATCAAGAGCAATTCTAGGAACAAAAACAAAATGGGAGGCATTAATATGCCAGATATCAAACTATACTACAAAGCTGTAGTAATTAAAACAATATGGTATTGGCACAAAATAGGAATATTGACCAGTGGAACAGATGTGAGAATCCTGATATAAAACCATCCTCATATAGCCATCTCATCTTTGACAAAGCAGACAAAAATATACGCTGGAAAAGAATCCTTTTCAATAATGGTGTGGGGGAAACTGGATAGCCACCTGTAGAAGGCTAAAACAGGACCACACCTTTCACCTCTCACAAAAACAACTCACGCTGGATAACAGACTTAAACCTAAGACACGAAACTATTAGAACTCTAGAGGAAAAAGTTGGAAACACTCTGCTAGACATCGGTCTGGGCAAAGAGTTTATGAAGAAGTCCCCAAAGGCAATCACAGCAGCAAAAAAAATAAATGGGACATGATAAAACTACAAAGCTTCTGCACAGCCAAAGAAATAGTCATTAAAGTAAACAGACAACCTACAGAATGGGAGAAAATTTTTGCATCCTATGCATCCGATAAGGACTGATAACTAGAATATACTTAGAACTCAAGAAAATCAGGAAGAAAAAATCAAATAACCCATTAAAAACTGGGCAAAGTACTTGACAGAAATTTTCTAAAGAAGAACAGAAGAATGGCCAACAAACATATGAAAAAATGCTCAACATCTCTAATCATCAGGGAATGCAAATCAAACCACAATGAGATATCACTTAACCCCAGTGAGAATGGCCTTTATCAAAAAATCTCCAAACTAAATGCTGGCTGGTTTGTGAGAGAGAGGACACTCCTACACTGCTGGTGGGACTGCAAACTAGTTCAACCTCTGTGGAAAGCAATATGGAAATATCTAAAGCGATACAAGTGATTCTACCATTTGTCCACAATCCCATTGCTGGGCATCTACCCAAAAGATCCAATGACACTCTTCAAAAAAGACACCTGCACTCGAATGTTTATAGCAGCACAATTCATAATTGCAAGGCTGTGGAAACAGCCCAAGTGCCATCAATCCAAGAATGGATTAATAAAATGTGGCTATATTATCCCATGAGACTATTCAGCTCTAAGAAACAATGGTGACATAGCACATCTTAATATTTCCTGTTAGAGCTGGAACCATACTATTAAGTGAAGTTTCCCAAGAATGGAAAACAGCACCACATATACTCACAGCAAATTGGTTTAACTGAACAGCACCTAAGTGGTCACATAGGTACTACAGTAATAGGGTATTGGGCAGGTGGGATGGGAGGGGGGGGAATATA